GGGATCATTGATACGTTCTTGTTCAATGTCAGGGACACTCTTTGACTCTAGTTTGAAGGAATTGTGCTGCTGCAACCCCTTATTTGCATACACTTTTTAGGAAAATGAGGGTATGGTGAGTTAATTTGAAAATTTTCATATATTACTTTTTTCTTTTGATTTTATTTAGCTTTAGATATTTTAATGTTCAGTGTAACTATCGTGTTCTTTATAAGTTCTGCGCAAGTGTATGAGTAAGGAACTGAATTTAACATGCGGGTTGTAGAGAAAATATTGGTGTGGTGAGTTTTATTGATTACTCGATTAATTCTTTCTTTTTCGATTATTTTTGCAATGATTACGTTGAAGCAATGTTGTTCAATGTCAAGAAGATTGTATTTGTTTGATTTGATCTTTTTTATTTCAGTACACATTGATATTGTATGTTGAGTTCACATATTTCAATGAAATACAAGCTTGAGTGAGTTTCTTTTGAATGCTAACTTTACCAATACTTCATTTTTTTACTTATTCTTGATTGTTTTGTTGTTTACACACTAGAGAATAAGGAAGAATGAAGAATTAGTTAAGTTACCGTTCAAAAGAAACTCACTCAAGCCTGTATCTTATTGAAATGTGTGAATTCAACATGATTAATGTGTATTGAAATAAAAAAGGTCAAGTTGAACACATACAACTCCTTAACATTAAACAACATTGTCTTAACGTAATCATTACAATAACAACCGAAAAAGAAAGTAATTGAGTAATAAAAACTCACCCCACAAATATTTTCTCGAGATACACGTGCTTAGTCACTATTAAAGACCACATAATTGTACAAAACAGATAGATAACACGATATCACCATTAAAAATGATCCAAAGAAAAGAGTAACATTTGAAATTTCACAAAACAGTCTCACCACATTGGTATCTCCACGGGAAAGAGGAAAGGGTGGGGTGGCATACTAATATGTTCCAATTGAACATAATCCTCCAAGAGGAAGTCAGAGACTGTTCTCGACATTGTACAAGAACACGTCAATGACCCCAATTGAAGAACATGCATTGCAAATAAAAAAGCATTCGAAAATCCTTGCACGAAATTCTTTACTCACCTCTGCGTCCCGGCCTATTGAGTATACAGAATATTTCAGCAATACATCAGCAGGGGAATGAATATTTTCAACAATGAAGGCAAAATCAGCGGTTTGGGTGTGTTGTGAGCAATTGCAGACATTGCATCGCATTTCCCTTAACCACCGTTTTTCACTCGTGAAACTCGTCGAACTCCCTTTTTACCTTTTTTTGAACCTTTTTATTTTTTATCTGTCGTTTTTTGCGCATTCTTCGTTGTTATCGCACTATTTTGGAGTGGATCTATTATTTCCCGTCAAAAAACGGGTACCCTAAATTTATCGTGAACTGTGCCTTTAAGGTGCCTTCAGCGCAGTCAGATACGAGTTTCTTATTTTGACCAAGTCGACAAATCATCGATCACAGCAATAGCAAGTACTTAGATTATTCTTTTCTAATAGTGGGAACATTGTATGAAAAGCCGTCATCTTCTTCTCTTCGAACTTACAATCAGAAGTCACTATTCCTGGAGGATATCTTCCTAAACCTATAACGGCGAACTTAGTCGAAGCTCATTTGCCTGTTTATCCTTATTTCGCACAATTTATGTAATACTTTGCGGGATTAATCACTGGTCTAGGTGTAAATAGGTTTTTGTATGTTCTGGTGTTTTTTGTTTTTTTGTGAATAGGTTTTTTTCTTTTTGATGTGAGCAATGAACTTCTGTTGTCACTTGCTTATGCGAATTGATTGTCTAGCCCATCCCTTTCGTCGATATACTAGCTTATGTGCATTGCTGCTCTCTAAAATTTCCAATATCATCTATGGGTTCGTTTGGAGCAGGTTAGTCCTTCTGTAGCATTTCCTTCTTCGATCCCGCTCGAGTTCCTGGATGCAGAGTTGCATGAAGGTTTTGCCACCTTTTCGTACCGTAACCATCTCGAATAGTTTCCGAACTCAGTGTTGGGGGCTATACTTCATTGAAGCCGCATGCCTGTTGCACATTCATTGATGTATCCTTGTTTGTGTAAGATCGCGATCGCTGTTCTGCTCGCGTTTATTTAGTGAAAGCTTATGAAGTTTAAGAATTTTCTCGCGCGTGGGCACATGAATGCAATTCATTGGAGCACGTTGGTATTGCGTTGCTCAGCAATCGAAGTCCTCCTGTTAGTCCCGATGGCGTCCATTCTCATTGATTATTCTTCCGTTCTTACTACTCGTGGATTGGATACCACATTCTACTTTCGCCGCTTGCTGCCTACTTCCTGATTTTTTACTGCTACTTGAATCTGCAGATCTGTAGCTCTGCAAAGGATACCGATGTAGGTGAGCGAACTCTTCTGTAGGTCCTCCTCTTGAGCTTTACACCTGTTGCCATGAGCATATAGCGTCATGACCCTGGTGTGGTTTTCGAGAGGAAGACGAATTTACCACTAAATGCTCCGCAATTTAAAAATGTGAAAAATGTGCTATGGGTGGTTTCATTTTATTCTTCGCAAGTCATATTAATGAAAAAACATTTACTGAAATTATTGATACCTGATAATGATCTACTATTAGTCTCTGCTGTCTTTCTAAGCATGAAATGTTACCTTGTGTCAATTTGCTTGTCAACCTGACAGTTTGCAAGTTTGCGTGCCCATCTCTTTCGTGCCCAGAATTTCCATGATTATTATTCGAATAATATACGGCACCCTTCTTCAGAGTGAGGGGTAGCAACAAATATGAGGAAGCTGAAACGATAGCTGGAAGTGTCAGTGATAGCGTTAATTATATTGCAAGGGTGCCAACTTTGCCTTGTTAGGTCCAACCAATTGATAGCCCTTTGTATCGATTTATGGATAGATTGATCAAATTCTTAATTTAGCCTTATCACATAACGGAATAACCAAAATGACAAGGTATACGCGAACGTTGGTACTTCAGCGCCGTGGTTTCAATAGTTTTCTGATGCACTCTTTCAGTACTCTCGTGAATTGGGAGCGTTGCATTTGTAAAGGCAAGAGCAGAAAGGCGTTTAGCAGTGAATAACGCCCTGCGAGCTTTGAATTAACAGATTTGGGAATATCGTTGAATACTGAAAGATAACGCTAGGTCGCACTCATACTATCGACGACGACGGCTGCGTTGCATGTCGATCAGTAACTAACTCGCAAGCCCATGATGCGTTTGACACCTTAGAGCATTTGAAAAAAAACGCTTGAAGGCCTCTAACCTTCATGTGAGTCTCACGGATGATCATCAATCACGTAGCATAAAAGTAAGAACTGTTAGCTACAACGCTACAAGTTAGTATTAAACTAGAGAGAAAGAAACAAATATTCTTCGGAAAATGAAGCCACATTCGAATGAGGTTACTATACAGTCATTGTGGAACTGTAACCAATCAGTGTACAAAAAAAAAGAAAGGCGAAACACGCATATTCAACGCCGGAAAGTTATTTTGTGTGACAATAGCCATTAACAAGCGATGTATCGATCAAAGGTCGACGAGGGCGAAGCGTCGGTAGTATAAATGCAACCTATGAGCTCAAGCCGCTCTGAAGTGCTCGTTGAACCGCCACGAATTTGCCGCACAATTTGCCGCGCACGGACCGAATCGCACGAATATACCCATACCCCTGGGGGGACGGTCAAGTCGTGCGTCCGAGGGTGCGCGCGGCGAATTGCGCGGCGAAACCCATACCTATCCTGACGACTTTAGCGCCTATTATTCGGGCCCAATTTCGAATTACAGTAGAATATTAGGATCAGCTGGCCTTACTAATCTACCTTACTTCAGATTTGGGCCCCAGTGATAGGCGCCAGAGTCGTCCAAATTCGCCACGAACTTCGCCGCGCAATTTGCCGCGCGCACCCTCGAACGCACGACTTGACACATACCCATACCCCTGAGAAGAAATTGGAACTCTTTTTTTGTACTTCGTTGAAATATCGTTACAATAAACTTGCTCTTGAAATAGTGCCCACACAACCTAATCATACATACACCTGCATTTTCAACAAGTCGCACTGGGTCGATTGAATCAAGGTACATAACACTGAATCGTAGAGAATTAAGGATTCCATGGTATGTGTTCCATATACTGTACTCTCGCAGTACTTCAATGTCTTTTAATAGGGTGGATGTGATCAGTTGTGTTGAACCCCCTCCATAACCCTGCTTGCTCGCATGGCGTCCTTCATCTGATATTCTGCAAATCCTGTTGAGGATGACTCGTTTGAAAAGTTCATAGATTACAGACAACAGACGGATTTCGCGATAGTTGCCGATACCTCGAAATTTCTCTCCTTCTACAGTAACGCAGTCTTGCTTTAAACGATAGGGCACGTTTTTCGACAGGCGCCGAGTGAAGAGCTAGCCAGGGTTCTGACGATAGATGGTGGATAGGCTTACAGGTGTCCTAACGTACGAAGCGAAAGCCACCGCAGTCGACTGCGACATCAGAAGCTTCCAACTGAAAAGTAATTATGTATAATGTGAGTAAGGGAGAAGAAAATACGCCACACAACACCAGCAGCGCTGAATTTATCGATAAGCTCAAATCCCTACATCTGATGTTGTTCACAGTTTTCGGCCTCTGAATCGCTTTGATGATAGCAAACTTCATACTGCTTTGAAAAAAACTCGAGCAGCTTTCAAAACATGGTTTGAAAACAGATGGAACAAAGAGAGAGAGAAAAAAGAATACTCCCAGAATTTTACTTTTACTTTAAAGCATTCTTTTGCAATTCCATGTTCCGTTTTTCCTCGGAGTAGGTCTCTATGCACTCACATAGGGAAGCCAACGAACATCCTCCTGGAAGAGGTCCTTGTGACATTCATTACTTCATACTGAGAAACTCTGTGCTTTGGCGCCCCATAGAATGTACCGCGGTATCTGAAGTCGCTCTGAAGCGGAGCAATGGACTAACATATGCTGGATGGAGAGTTTGGCGCTATTAAGGCGTCAATTTCTCAAATTTCTCCTCGACTTTTCTCTTTTCTACACTTCCTTGCTTTGTTTTAGTAGATCGGAGACTCATGCAACAATTGAGCCCAGCTGACCGGGTGTTCATGCTCAGAACTTCAGCTTTCTGTCTGAATTCGATAAAGTGAGATGTTCAATAGAGAGTTATNTTCTCCTCCGGAAGTGTCACTGCTTTCTCCCTCAGTATAGTCATCTTCAACGTCTTCGGGAAGAGTACCAGAGGAGGCGGGTTTTTCGGCGTTCTTATCGACATTCTTTTCGAGGTCTACGTTGCCGGACACCTGACCTTTTTGTTCCGGGGGTTCCATCTTGCAAATTTTTTACGAGCATAATCCTCGCAGCTGAAATTTCATCTGTTCCGGATACGAAATGAGTTAACTTCGAATAACATCTCTCTTTGGCTTGTTCACACACCTGAGAACTTCACCTTCTTCTCCTATGAAAATATTAGTGCCACCAGCCCAATAGTCATCTTCCGCTTCGTCGAGAAGAGCACCACGGGAGGCGGGTTTTTGTGCGTCGGATGAAAGATCAACGTTACCCTTTGGGTGGTTTAAAGACTTCCCACTGATGGTTGCAGCAAATAGGAGGACGAACAGAAACGCCATTCTGAACACATGAGTTATGAAAAAAGGAAATTTAAGGATTTGCAGACGCTGGTAGCACTTCATGAAAAATGTCGGTAAGTTCGAGTGAGCTCGACCAGCACAGCCTTTATGGGGTAGCAAAGAATTGGGTATAAAAAGTGAGGTCATAAGAGTAAGGGGACACATTGAGCAATAAAAGAAAAAGGGGGCATGCCCACAACAACTGTCCCAGTATGAGAGTAGGGGAAAAAAATGAGCGCGTCTGCACAACGGTTTTTCTGCGTGGCCTTTTATACACAGCCTATGTAGTTTTTCTGTATTGTAACTACTACTGAACGGCTGAGAAAATACGGACAGAGTGCGTTGCTTTGGTAAAAAATTCCAATAACTCTCTCCAGACATTCCCTTCTTTGATCGGACTACCCACTACAGAATGCAGTGGCAACGCTGCAAAAATCAGTTCAGAGCCGTCGTCCTCTTCTCACTCCAATTTTTTGAAGTAGGAAAAAACTAAACTTCTCCGCTGGGATTGAGTGACATCAGAGGGGTTTTAACGACCCGTGAACGTGTGATACTGTAACCCCTTAGTACCCCACCACCCAGCCCCATGGGCTTCACCCGGCATACCTTTCTCTTGCGTCGTATATGTCAGACGGGTGTTTGAAGGCGCTTCAGTGTGTGTTCGGATTACTGTGTAACACCTTAACGAAGAGAGTAAATCCGTCTTGTATGAATGATATGTCGAATTCGAGCTGATGACGGACCCGGCTAACCAATAATTTCTTCTTGGAGTGCATGAAATGATCGAATATTACACCGTGTGATACTGCTCTTCCCCTAGAACTTAATGTAGACAGACAAGATGAAATTCGCTACAAAAATTACAGCTGTAGAAGGAGCTACGCGTTGGCGTGCTACAATGTCGTGCAGATCGTAGACTTACCGTAAAACCACAGCAAACATACGAGATGCAAAAAAACATGTTTTCAATTGCATGTCGCCAATCACATGTACTGTTGAAATTGTCCGTGCAGATGGAAATAGCCCATCAGACGACGGGATAACAGTTTGAATTTAGGATAATCTGCCTAATCTGCCGATTCGATCATGAGATCTTTCAAATTCAATTCAGGATACCTCCGTACACATGTTTCGAATTAGAACTATCTCGATTAGTTTCCTGTCCTAATAAAGTCACTCTCTCTGGCAGTGGTATCCCAATGATGAGAAGCATGAATTACAACCTTTTCCAGTCGGATCGCCCGGCTGACGCCGAGCTCCCCTCCTTCCCGTATTAAAATGGCCTTCCCTCCTGAACCCTTTTCGAATTTGGAGGCTTCAGTAGATGAGAACGGGAGTTATCCATTCCCGGCCAAAAAACAAACACCCAACACAGTTCGTGCGCGCCCTGTTCGCCATTAACAAACCTCCTTAAGTTCTGTGTATTTGAATTCAATTTATTTCCGTCTTATCCAACTTAAGTTTCGAAACTCGAATCTGAATTAATATTTTTTGCCCACGCCTCGCCTACTGTGAGCGGAGTTAAGTCCTGCAGCCCGAAATGGGTGCCCCCAACCTAGACCTAGTCTAAATTTTTCGCACAAACCTGCCCTATGTGGGATTCCGGTCTTGCGACCCATCATAAGTGTTCCTCTCCTGCCGCCTACACACCCACCAAATTTGAACGCTCTAGGTCCACGGGAACAGTAGCTACGAATTTCCACTCAAACCCGCCCCACTGGCTGAGAGTGGGTGGAATCTGGTCCTGCCGCCCAGCATAAATGTTCCCATCGTGACGCCTGTACTTCTACCGATTTGAACGTTTCAGGTCCAAATTTAAATTTTTCTAAAAAAAAACCCACGCTTGTGAGCGCAGTCCGGCTCTGCCACCCACCATGAGTGTTCCCATCCTGAATCCTGTAATGCTACCAAATTTTAACACCCTAGGTCCACGGGAACAGGAGTTATGAGTTTCCGCTCAAACCCCGCCCGTTGTGGGCGGAGTCCTGCTCTGCCACCCACCGTAAGTGTTCCCATTTTGCCGCTTGAATTCTCTAGGTCCATGGGAAGCGGAATTATGAATTTCCGGTCAAACACACACACACATACACACATACACACATACACATATATACACACATACACAAAGACACACACACATACACACAGACACGCACAGAGACACACATACACACACATACACACACAGACAAACCACCCTTACCCTACCTTACCTCCCTTAGCGAATACTTTAGCGCGTTATATATAGTGGGATTCTGTCCAATGACTAGCCATTAGATTTTTCTGCGGCTCACCTCTCCTTACTTCCATGATGGAAGCAGTCCGTTAGACTCACGTGAGGCATTGAATTTGAAGCCGCTTCAAACTTACAATCGCTACCCATCTTCCTTTGGACCATAAGTCCTGGGAGCTATTAATGAAAAAGAACAGTCTCAGCAACGGAGACTACAGCCCTTTCCAGGGGTTCAAGTTCGACAGAAGCTAAGCATTTCGCTGCCCACTACTCATAATTCTAGGAGAAACTCTTCGCAAGCAGACGACAAAAGGCTCTTCAGAGACCGAATGTTACCTTGACTGGAGGGCGCGTGCTTGCAAAACATAAGTTCGCTTCTCCAGTACCCATACCTGAACTTGTTTTCACGACACTTCCTACTGCTTTCCTTAAGGGGGCTTCAAAAAAGGGGAAAAAATAAAAGTTGGAGAAGAGTCATTGGATCATTTCATTAAGCAGCGCAAACTTTCTGTATTTTTTTCAGCTGTTCAATAGTAGTTACAATACAGGGAAAACTACAATAAACTGTGTATAAAAGGCCTACCGGAGAAGCCATCATGCACACAAGTTCATTTCCTGCCCTCCTCCCATCTTGGGACAGTTGATGTTGATATGTCTTGCGTCTTCTTCTTTCAGTACTCATTCAGATCCACTCATCAACTCCTTATACTTGTCTTTCTTAATCGTGAATTCTTGGCTCTTACATTAAAGCTTTGCATGGTTGACGCACTCACTCAAACTTACCGATATTTTTTGTGGGGTGCTTCCAACGTCTGTAAATCCCTCAATTTCCTTTTTTTATAACTCAAGTTTTCAGAATGGCGTTTTTTCTATTCGTCTTCTTCTTTGTTGCTTCTGTCAGTAGCAAGTCTTTGGACCTAACAAAGGTTAACGTTGATGAACTTTCATCCGACGCCCAAAAACCCGTCTTCCCTGGTGCTCCTTCTGATGACGCGGATGATGAGCATTTCGATGAAGACGACAGTGACGCGCTCGAAGAAGAAGACGGTGAGCTTCCAATGAACCGACGGATACTTCTGTTGAAACGAATGACGAGCCCTCTGATGAAACGACACCTTCCGAATCATCGGAGGTCACCGAGGCTACTAAAGAAGCTCCAAAGTGTGTGGACAAGCCGAAGTAAGATGTTATTTGGGATGAATTCACTATGGTTTCTCAAAGAATAGTGAGAAAAAATTTCAGCTGCAAGTCTCTTGCTCGGGAAGGATTTGCAAGATGAAATTTTCGGATCGTATCAAGAAGGCTACTTGTCCGGTAGCGTGCAACCTCTGTGATTGAATTCAAATGAGTAAATCTAATCGTTTTGAAGAGAGCATTTACAAAAAATGATTTAATAGTTGATTAATCGTGGAGAATGTATGAAGTATAAATGAGGATGCAGATTATAAACGAAATTTCTCTCCCAACCTTCAAGAGTTGTTTGGTCACAAAGGGTGCTGAGAAAACTGGCGATAACACTCAGGAAGGCATCTTACCTAGTTGAATTCAGTCTAAAAGCCTGAACTCTAGAAGCATTAAAACTCGGTCGGCTAGGATCACATTACTGCATGAGTCTTCCATCTATTTCACAATAAATAAAATGCAAGGAAAAGAAGAAGAAAAGTAGGCCATTAAAATCAACGGTTTGGATCGCCGAGTTTTCTCTCGACATAAGCATGGTTTCTTCTCTGGTTCAAATACGCCGTTACAGTCACAAGGCGACAAAAAAACTGTTTCTTATGGTTAGTAACACACGGTACTGAACGTCATAAAGAAGTAGTTTTTTCACCCATGAAAGAAATTAACTTCTTGTAAGAACATATAATAGCTTTCTTATGCTAGTGTATTGAGAGATTCTAGTCACTTGAATGGATTTCCTTATGGATCAATGAAATAAACGAAATAACGTAGAAGAAATATCCTAATACCCAATGAGTTGTTAAGAGTCGTCGCGTGAGAAGTTTAGAGACAACAGATGGTGCTCAAGTAGGTCTGGCTGGAGCAAAAACAAATTCGGGAAGTTCGTCGGAGAATATCTGCTTGTGTGTTGTACGCTCTCAAAGAAAAAACTTCACCCTGTTCTTGATATTACTACTATCGAGACTTCTGCCCGTCTTTCGTTCGGGGGCCGTACGGTCCCGTCAGGAAAAATGACCGGCAGTGCCACGTGAAAAATCAATACACCTCCGTCAGTCGTCGTCTTTGCAGTCATTTGTGATGCCTTCACCTTCACCTGCCGTCTGCTATTATTCCCACCTGGTTCTCCCCATTTGTCTTTGCGTCCGACTACTACATATCAGACTGCACAGAAGAAGAACAGTGTAGAAGCAACTACGTATAAAGCAGTTTGCCTTCCTTGACGCCTTGCATGGGGACTTGTAAGTAGTTGGTCTTGATGTAGACCAAGTATTCAATCGGGAAAAGTGGCATTAGCACACCAGGAGAGTGTACCACGTCTCTATGCGGGACGAACGCTAAACTAGAGAAAGAAGAGGAAAATATCAAAAATATTCATGCGCCAGGGCGGAGGTGGTGTAGTGGCAAGTGGCGCACTATATCACCCGCACGGTCGAGGGTTCGAATCCCGGATCGATGCCCGCCTAGGCCAACCAAGCCCTCCATCCCCCCGGGGTCGGTGAATAGGTACCAGACTCGTCTGGGAGGATAAAAGCACTGACTTGTACATCGGCGAGCCACAGCAAGTCATTGTATAGGCCACATACGCACTCATTACGCCACTACGATTCTGAATGGAAGTCGAGTGCGGGGGCGCATCCCTCAGAGGGGATTGATTAACGCCGAAAAACTTTATCTTTACTTTTGTAATGTTCTTAGTAGATGTCAAGAACATTCTTTGACATCGTATTAAAGATTGCTGAGATGTTTCAAATCAATTATTACATACAACCTTTTTACTCCTAAAAAATCCATGCATAATAGGAGATTTTAAATGTTTGTGATTGGTACATTTACATTAGTACACGTTCTTCATCCCGGGTCATTGATGTGTTCTTGTTCAATGTCAACATGCTCACAATGCACACATTGCGGACAGCTCCCCCAAGCACACTTTCC